TTAATAATACATCTTCCAGTGGAGACCCAGTGATTGTAATTGTGGCATCATCTGCAAACATAGTTATGTGGCAATTGCCAACATGTTCTGAGGATCATTAACAAATACCGCAAAAAGTAAAGGTCCCAGTACTGAACTCAGAGGAACTCCTGTCACATCATGTTACTTGAACACGATATTGTTTCTATTGCCTCTCTATACTAATATCTTGGATACTAATTTTGAGTTCTATCGAGTATTAGTGTATCTTCGAATGAGATAATGTGAGTGCTTTCAATGTTGAGAGCATGTTCGGTTACAGTTGATTTGTCGTTTTGTCCGAGTCGACAATTTCTCTCGTATTCAGAGAGACGGGTACCTATACTTCTTTTGGTGGTTCTAATGTACACCGACCCGCAGCTACAAGAAATCCGATACACTCCGGGTGTTGCTAAAGATTCTCTGGGGTCCCTAGCTGACCTTAGACTTTCTCTGATGGTTTTTGTTGGCCTAAATATTGCCTTCACGTCATGTTTCTCTAAGATTCTCCCAATCTGATCTATAACATTTTTAACATAGGGTAGGAAAGCTTTTCCTTTGACTAGTCAAGTTGGGCTTGCTTTCGCGTTTTCTCTCCTGAGTCGTATCACCGGCTCGAATTCTTCTACGCCATACCAATTTTTTTTGGTGATTAAGTTCCTCAGGAAGACTCCCAGATTCATGGATACGTCGTGCTCTCTCAACCAACGTTTTAATTAACCCTCTCTTTTGTTGTGACTGGTGATTTGAGTTTTTATTCAGCTTCCTGTCTGGGTCTGTTGGTTTTTCTGTTCACTCTGTGGCCCAATGTTACATGTTCAGGTCTGTTTACATGAACATCCAAGAAGGCTATAGAGTCCTTTGAGTTTCTCGTTCCATTGTGAGTTGAATTTTTGGGTCGATAGAGTTTATAGATATGTTAGAAAATCGTTGATAGTCTCTTCACTATTTTGACATACCATAAACGTGTTATCAATATAACGCAGCCAACAATATGGTTCCTCTAAGGCTCGTTGTTCGAAATTGAACTCGTTATTTTTCAAGGGCTTCCACAAGATCAATGAATTACGGGAAGAAATTAAAAAAATATCCATTTTGAAAGATTTTAAAACACTTAAAGAATGTTTAAAAAAGTAATAGAACACAAATTGTACAGTTAGGTGGAATTATTTGGGACATTATTGGTAATCCATCTGTACCAAATATCACCGTTTTAATGATAATTTAATGTATATATACACCTATATGTCATTATCTATTTAAATGTTACTTCAACTTAACATATGATACTCCAAACGCGGACTGCGATTCCAAGAATTGCATTTACCGGATACCCTGCGAGTGAGGAAAATCATACATCGGTGAAACTAAGAGGCCATTGAAAGTTCGCATCGCCGAGCATAAGAAACACACACAGCGAGGAGAAACCAGCAAATCAGGAATAGCAGAGCATGTTTGGACTTATCAACATAACATCAAGTGGACTCAGGCGGAAATCATTCACAAGGAGGAACACTGGTTTAGGAGAAAATTCAAAGAAGCCGCGTATATGTTGTCCAACAATGCGTTTAGCTAAGCTAGCGTAGAGATATGCAACATATGGAAACCTCTAATCTAGCGGAATACGACCAACTCCCGCTAAAACTGATAAAGCGGTCTATAAAAAGTCAGATCTCGGAGCATGAACCTATTTGTCCTGACAAAAATCATCTGCAAGGGTAAAGGAGCTAGAGGCTCCAACCTGACTGAACTGAAGATGGCTGTCGATGAATAAGTCCAGTTATCACTCGAAGACGATTGTGGATACTAACAATTGAAACGTCGTGAAGTAACTTGGCTTGAAATCTTTTAATTTTTAATTTTCATTTCTTGTTAATAATTGTTTTTTTATCTCGTGTTAATGTTCCTTGTATTTTATTTCATTGTAATTTCAGTTTTTTTCACCTAATCTCTTTTTAATTTTTTTACAGATTCTTGCAGGAATTTCAAATCAATTTATATCATATTAGACAATGTAATGGAAGTCCAAACTAATGAAATATACCACGAAACATTGTCAACCTTCAAAAAACCATTTTCTCATTATACTCCTTGGTGTTCATTACTACTTAATCACGACGCGACGGTGGCATTTCCTTTGTCAACAGGCAATACCAAGTAAGGTGTATCAGTTCCATATCGATACGAGGGCTACCTCCTTTCTGTTCTGATGGATCGCCTTTTCTGTGATAAAGGTTTTTCGGAGCGTTTCTCGGCACCAACTTGGACACTGCGACCGTTACCACATCGCCTTCGATAATGTCTACCGCAGTAGTAGACGAAATATCAGGCATAAAAACCTGTAGATCAATGCCAAAAAAACCGGAAAATAGCTTTCACACAGAAGTTGTATCTAGTTCAAAATTAGCAAAGGGGAAACAAACTATCAAGAATGTAGAACTAACTTTATTTTAAAGATCCCAGAAAATGAAACCATATGAAAAAACACACCGAACATAAGCAAAATATACAGTTTCAAATTATCAAAACTAACTGCATTTCGTAATTGCTTCGATAAAAAACAAACAGAGCTCAATTTGGCTACCAATTTATTAACGTGTCCCCTACAAGTTAATTTATGGTCTATTGTATCTGAACGAAACTTCTTGCATGATCTTAACATTTTGGCAAAGAGTTTATTTTTGAGTTGATTTCCTTCTTTTTTTTTTGAAGTTTTATAAATTTTTTGTTCGAATCTGGAGAAATAGAAAACCAAAAGGCTTCTTCCCGGAACTAATCTCTCCTAAAAATATTCCCCTTTCGAATTTCCTACGGTTTGATCTAAAAAAAATGAAAAACTACAAAAAGAATAAAAGGCCTGTGGAGTACTTTTTTCTCCATATTATTGGCTTATTACTTCAAATAACTGTAGCAAGATTCAATCAAATCGGTTTAAGGATATTTTTAATATTTCATAAACGTCGTTTTTTAAACTTCAACGCCCTGTATCTCAGAAATAAAGTAACACCGAACATATGTTCTTGACATTAATGAACGTGTTAATAATCAAGTTGAACGTTGATTAAAAAATGGTTCACCACTACAATATAAACCTAATCAAAATAATCACTTCTTTAAGGTGTGGTCTTTTTTCCTTCAAAGGGATCAAGATAATATGTGAAGTGAAGACTTAAGTAGAATGGACATCCCTATAGGCTTACGAATCACACGTTGAAAAGTAAAATCTCGTTAATCCTCAACTAGTACAAGTTTAGACGTTTAAGGGCTGTCGTTCGTATGGGGATGACAGCTGATTAACATCCTATTATAAATAATTTTAAACACAATGAAAATAAGATGTTAAAAATTAAAGAAACTTTATTGGCTTTGAACTGCTACAAGTCAATAGCTAACAAAGGGAACTTCGAAAAAAAAACTTTAGGGAGTCTTTTGACTTTCATGAAGTTAACTGAAAAAAATGCCCATTATGTTATCTGTAAATTAATACTTCTGTTAATTCGTTTTGATTGAGATGATAAAATTAAATACTTCTGCATTTATGTCTATTCTAATTTCTGTTTTTTCGACAAATCAAATAAGGTTTCTCAGTTCTACGTAGACCTACTATTAGCTGAAGCGTTGGACCTATCAAAATTTTGATATTTACAATTTCTGTATTTGAATTCTAATGTTGCCAAAAACTTCTCATATTCGTTACTTTGAGGATTCCCAATGAATAATTTTTATAATTGACTTTTATTTTGTTACCACCGTTATAGTTCTATCAGTTCGGCTTAAAATAAGATTGAGACCCTGGTAAGTTGTACGAGTTGTATATTTTACCAAATGGCTTCAGATGAAGGAAATTTAAACCATTTATAGATTGATAATAATTGCCTAATAGGATTGAACTTGACCGGTTTCATCGAAATATACAGAAGCCATATTAAATATTCTTCACCGATTGTATCATTTAAACTCTTTTGTATGTAGCATACCTTGGTGAAATAACAATGCCAATGTTCCTCAATACGCATATGATGGCTATCACAGATATTATGTATTTTAAATATTTTTTGTTAATACTTATTCTGGTTTTCCTGTATTGAGGTGAGTCTTAATGTCATTGATAAACGGTAAATAACCAATACAAAAGATATTAATTTTCTGTTCCTCTGGTGTTTTGTGAATTGAGATGGAAGAAGTATTTTTTTGGTTTTTTTGTTTCGTTTTGCAGATATTTTTTATTTATTCTTATTGCATTTTTCAGTTTGAATACCAAATATTAATAAGGGTAATTGAAGAAGATGTCATTCATGAAAAAATCTACATATAATGAAGTGGTAATAATAGGTATAACACTTTCATGTACTAGATACTTCTATTCCTTTCAGATGTCTACCGAGGGCTCTTAAATTGAAATCAACATAGAAATAATCAGAATATTACTTTTTTATTTATCTTTTGATTTTCATGGAATTATTTTAAAGCAGCTTGACTGCATTAACCTTTCTGAAATAAAACCATTAGACACCTGTGCAACATCTTCCATTTGGAAGATTCGTCGCAAGTAACTTTCTATATATGAATAGGAGAAATTACTCTCATTTGGTCGAACGACCACCGATAGACCGGTTTTGCGGGTACTTGCCCCTCGTCAGTACCGGACAGGTCATTTTGAAAGGAGTGAATCGTCTGAGTACCCCGAACAAACAACAAAATTGATTACAACTAGGCATAAACTCTATCTACAGTTGACTCAGTAGGATGCCCACTGCCTAATAGAGGCAGGTGGTGAGGTGTTTTTCACTTGAACTCGGGCATGTTATGCACCTCTCCGGAATATCAGTATTATTTTCCCACCTCGGAGTATGTTTGGAGTTGTTTCCGGACTTTGTTTGCAGGTGGGGCATTGGACATCCTACTGAGTCAACTATTAGAAAGAGCTTGTGACTACTTGGAATTAATTTTTATTTGTTCGGGATACTCAGACGGTTCACTCCTCTGAAATGACCTGCCCGGTACTGACGAGGGACAATTATCCCGAAACCGGTGGTCGTCCCGACCGCATTAAATTAATTTCTGTTTTTCATATATAGGAAGTTACTTGCGACAAATCTTACAAATGGAAGACGTTGAACAGGTGCCAGGTGGTTTTATTCAGCTTTCTGAGTGGCATTAGCTGGGTTAGTTAGCTAGAGCTATGAGACCTAATATCATTTCCTTTCTATAAAAATCAAGGCCTGCTGCGAATATCTTTATAGGTTAAAACAAGAAACCGTATTAGCTATTTTTTTAGGAAAAATTTAAAATCACCATTCGACTGGGCATCCTCTCAAAGAGTGGTATAGGTACCAAATTTTATCAAAAACTTATTTCTCAAAAAGTCTAAAAATATAATTCCATTCAGATTACTTTCGAAGAAAAATGGACCGATAATCTTATCAAGGGTTATTTCACACAACACATTTATTTTATGGGAATACTTTTTGCCTGTTTGCGATTATAACCCAATTAGAATTATCCGCAGACCAGTACCTTGAATTTTGGGTGAACGTAGCTTCATAGCGTAGCGTAGAAGTTTATACAATCATTCAAATATTTTTCTTGAGCCCACAAACAGAATTCTAACCTTCTTTTTTCATATCTCGGTTCCAGAGAGTGTACAATTTTTGGATTGCAAAAATCGTTAATACGTTTTCATATATTTTAAACTATAAAAATATTCGCAGCAGGTATTGTTCTACAACTTTCTTGGAACCCCAGATTGAATATCAATATTATCAGTCGTTTCTGAGAGATGAAAACTTTAGAAAATTCCCGAAATAGTTACTAGAGAATTCACTTTAGTTAATTTGATGTCATTTTAAGTTAATGAATCACAACAAATGACTTCAATAATACTGACTACTGACTTGGATTTATTTAAAATCACTTTGTCAATAAATAAATTTGTTAATTGAATGGAACTGATCGATACTCGATGAAAATCCATATTAAAACTAATCAATACAGTTTATTGTATGATTTTCACTATAAAGGGTTTACCAAACCCGCGGTTTTTGTTAAACCCTTTATAGTGATAATCATACAATGAACTGTATTAATTAGTTTTAATAAATTTGTTTTCATGGATAACGCATTCTCATTTTATCCAGAAACAATCATTGTACTATCATCAGCATACATAGTAATGTAATAATTTGACAAATTCAGACAAGTCATTAAAAATATAGATCAACAATGGGCCCAAAACAGATCCTTGTGGAACATATAGTCACACATCATAGGGAATTCAAGTAATTCTGTTGCATTTGACCACTAAACTACTATTTTTCATATAAGACTGTATCCAACACAACACAATATTGGAAAATCCCAAATATAAATTTTGAGGAAACAGTATCGAAAGTTTTCGTTGAATCCAAAAAAACGTGTAACAACCAGGTTATTACCTTCGTCTTGTGCATAAATATATTTTAGAATTTAGTAGTTGGTATTTTCTCGAAAAGTTTCGAAAAAGAGAAAATTACGGTCTATAATTGTCAATTTCTGATCAATTTTCACATTTACATGTATCTATTGTTGATATTCAAGAATAACTAATAACTTTTACATGTATAACTTTTCAGATACATAATAATAATTGATGATACTTTAGGTAATCAAGCCCAAAGCAGATTCCAATCAACATTTGAGGTCCATTTTCTTCTATAATTTCCACGTTTCCAGTCAGGTGCGACTATGCGAAAATGGACTAGCTCCTGACAGGGGATGCTGGAGATGAAAATCAATAAATCTCTCTTGCAAGTCTTGGAACGCGTGGTCCTGATATTAACAACGATGTAGTTTGTTGGCGAAAACTAAGGCGGCGTCTATTGTTTTTTTCGTTGTTAATCATGATTTAAACGGATATGGCAGTGATAATTGGTTGGCTTTATTGTTTTTTGTGGTATTCCAGCATATTAGCCGGTAAGAAATGCATTTCACATTTTCCAATTATTAATTCAATTTTCCAAATATTATTAAATGTTACTTTCCGACGTCGAATGATGAAATTTGTTCGTTTAGATGACATTACTAAAAATAATATAAAGCTCATCAAAGAGTATGCATCACATGTTTATTAATATTATACCTATGATTTAGATTGTTGTTGATTCTCAATACACAAAGGATATTAGATGAGTGGTTCGCTTGACAATCAGAATAGATAGATAGATAATTTATTGGTGTTTTATACATTCATAAGTATTTACACAAGTTAATACATACATATTAATAAAATTAGTATATGTTAGACATCTATTAATATTTAAATACACAATAGATGCTCAGAATTCTAAGAACGAGTTTTTTATAAAAAATATTTATATTTTATACAGTACACATATAAAAACAAAGCAGTAAAATTTAAAATTGGGTATTGGCAATATGAACCAAAATAATGAATGAAGAAAGCTAAAACACCTTTCGTGTTGAAATTTCCTTAAATTAGATTTGTTTCAATTGCTTCCACAAAAATTTACTCAATGGTATTATTTCAGGATATGCAACCCTGTTTTGCCCATTACTGCCGGTGCTATTCATTTCAAACAAACTATATAGACACATAACTGATGTGCTGTTTACTTATTGGCAGTATTATCCTACGGTGAGTAAAAACAATTAACAAACGGCAACTATTGAAATTTAATTCTCATACGACATAGCAGATAAACATATGTGGGTACTTATAAAATTTCCTAAAAAGTAGATAAGTCTGCAGAGCACCAAGCTTATTTAATGACGAATTCAAAAAACACACTTTAATGTGAGATTCCGACTTAAGAGTTTACAAACCCGTGACACGTGTTTTGCTAGACAATAGCATCTTCGGACGCCACAATACTGTTTTTACAAATTCTGTGTTGTGATTTTAAAGTAATTTGAATCATTTTATGACCTAGCATGAATGAAAATCAATCAGAAGTAAGCATTTTTATGGTAACCCACCTCCATCACTCCTTACTAGAATGAACACGAATAAATAGGTGTTCTTTAGTCAGTTGTTGCTTCACCTGTATGTATGATTGTTTGTAGCTCTCAAGCTCGGGATCTGTATTTGACAGAATGAGGAATGTTCCTCAATTTGGGTTATTACAGCAAATGCAAGTTTGAACAAAATAAAGTTGAGTTTAATTCATGAGTTTTTCAAATTCACTTCGAAAAGTATTCAAATTGATGTTTCAAATGTTGGATTTTAATTTTTAAAGGGATTTGTTTCTAATTCACATATTG